GGGGGGGGGGGGGGTCGGGTCAGTGGCATTAATTTAGAGAGCTATATTTTACATTAAATTCATGTAAAAAACATAGAGACAATATTTTGCGCTGGATGTCATGCAACCTTCACTGGAAGGAAACTTGATGAACATTTTAAAACCACCATCATCATGGGTTATATCCAGTATCCACATGCGTGTACATCATGAGACAGCAATGCCTTCAGTTATTTGCTATTGTTATGCCCATTACATGATTGATATTACAACTCTTATGTTGTTGTTTAATTCAATTAATGATTTTTATGTTTTTTCCCATAAAGATTTATCAACATCAGCACAACAAGCAGATGAGCTGCCCCGCAATGGCTCAGTTACTTTCAAACACATTATACTACAAACGGTTTTTCCCTTACTACTCTTTCAATGTCATTGGTGGCCTTGATAGTGAAGGTAGCAGCATATTACTTGCCCAATTTTAGTTATAGGTGTACTATCTTTTTTACATACTGCTCCTTCTGGATTAATTTGAAAAATAAGTGACATTCTATTAATGTTTTGTTATTTTTTTAATTTCAGTTACCTATATCTCCAAAACTCCAAACATATTAAATGACACTATTTTGTATGTTTTAGATCCCCACTAAGTTACTAACCATAAAAAACTAACTTTGTTTTTCAACTTCAAGGGATATAGAGATGTTTTATACTCTATCTAGCCTCTCTTTTATTTAAATATGGAAGCAACTTGTAAACCATCCATTGATACCAATCATGCATCTTTTCATAATTTAATGGTAATGACACATAGCTTTGTTTTCATATGTATGCCGAATACCAATTTTCTTGCATCTTAATATAGCTGGACTACTCTTTTAGTAACTTAGTGTACCCAATGATTTCTAAAAATAAAACTGATTTACCATTTATCTAGAAATACATGTACTCCGTATATCTCTTTAATACCCCATACGGAAGAAGCTAAACACAACTCATTAAAACAATATCACTGTTAGATCATAAGGGGATCATTAGTTAATGGGAGTATGGGACTATGGGTGGACAACTGGACAAGTGTCAATTATTATGGGTGGTATTTTCCTTTACTTTGGATTTCCTCTTAAAATGTGTGATACATGTCAAAACATTTTTTCAAATTGAACTGGTGGGGAGTATGTATACAAATACTCCCTATGTTCCATTAAAAGACTCATGTTTTGGTAACGGTACAACCTTTTAATTTTGTTAAGGTACAAGTATTTAAAAAATGGTATTTTGAACCTTTTTTTGTTTAACTAAACTTATTAAAGTCAACATGTTTGCAACATTTTATTGGCAAAGCACAAAAAATAGTTTGATTTGATCTAAGAGAACTCTTTTTTTTTAACAACAGATTTTGAAACAAAAGTTTTTTTTTTCCTGGAGGGGGAGTATCAATGATGGACATTTATTTTTGTTTATTCACATTTTTTCTTAAAATATTCCAGGCAAAGGATGTGTTTTCACATATGATGCTGTTGGATCATATGAGAGGGTTGGGTACAGCTCTCAAGGTTCTGGTTCTATGTTGATCACACCTTTCTTGGATAACCAGCTGAAGTCTCCTAGTCCACTGTTGTTGCCTGCCCAGGTCTGGAATTTTCCATACAAACCCATTTTAAGAAACTGTGAGTCAATGTTTATATGATGTCTGAAAAGGATTGCATTGCCTGCACAGGATGCTGTTACTCCTCTTTCTGAGAATGAAGCAATTCATTTAGTGAAGACATGCTTTGCATCAGCAACAGAGAGGGATATATACACTGTAAGCCTCTTTGTTGCTTTTTCTCCATTTCTTTCTTTTGCTGGTTTCTTTTATTTATTTACGCTGTACGTATTTATCTATGCGTATAAGTTTTTTCAATGTTACCTATCAACACATCAGCGCTAGTTTGAAATCCCTGAGAGATCCCGTTAGTTTCAGAAGTACAATTTGAGTTCTTTAGACATGGACCTGAAGTTAAAGTTTAGGCTGTAGTGTAAAGAAGTGGATGGTTGTAAGAGGTGGCGTTGTGACAATGTAAAGTATATCTATCCTATTCATCTTGTAAAAAACTGGATTAACTATCCATTTTTATGATGTGAATGGTTAGTGATGCATCCATTATTATTTTAATTCACTCGCAGGCCCGCCCAATCATTTTAAAAGGCCCTGTGCTATTTAGTACTTTTGGCTCTAAACTTTTTAAATTAAAATAAAAGTTGTGCAAATGTATCAATATTGGTGATTCCATTAAAAATAATATACGGAGTAATAAACTTCAAGTCTTTTCATCAGTGGAGCGATAAAACCTAAGAATTGCACATGTCGCAATGCAAGTAGTTTGAATAATAACTTTTTCTTTAGAATTTGCTTTTGTCCAAAAAAAGTTAACTTGCAAGTAGAATCACTTTTAGAATTGAAGAAACAAAATAAGAAATAATTCATTAATAATTAAAAATCAATTTAAAATTGGATTTTTAAAACTGAATTAAGTTCTTAAAACTGAATTTAGAAATGAAAAAAGTAGATCAATTTTAAAACAAATTGAAGATGAAAAAAACAGAAAAAACAAAACAGATTAGTTCTTAAAGAACTGAAAATAAAAAATTATTAAAGATGCAGCCTATAAATGAAAAAACAACCACAATTGACACAAGATTTGAGAAGGAATTGAAGAGCCTAGTTGAAGAACAAAGAAGGTAGAAGGAAGAGTCTTAAACAACTTAATTGACTTGAGATTGGGCCCCATCATTTTGGAGGCCCTGTGCAGGAGCACCTCTTGCACTCCTCATTGGGCGGGCCTGTTCACTCGATACATATAATGATTCTTCTAGATCCATCTGAACGACATCCACATATTTTCACATTTGTTAGGAATTTCTTTAGCTTAGGCCTTGTTTGAAAACAACATTTTCAGTTAGCATCGAGCATTGTGGAGGATTTTTTAAATAGTTTGTACAGAGAAATACTCCCTATGTATAAAAATATGATGTATTTGCAAGTTGTAGCATGCACTTGGTAAGCTTTTAGTAACTCGCAGGAAGTGCGCATATATTCACACACATGTCTATTTTATTCTGCTCTTTCATTATAAAAGGATGATGAAAGATCAATCATCTTGAGCATTATTTTCGGCATTTGATTACATGTTCACATCCCTTGTTATTGAATATATTTTATCTATGTTTGAAATGGAGGTCTCTCGAAAACGACTGCTCTACTTTCAAGTAGAGTAAGGGGTGTGAACACACATTCTTTCGAGTCCTTACTTTTTATGAGATCTTACATGGTATGTTATTGTTGATTACATGTTCACATTGTTTTTGATCATTTTATTTTGTTGTGTACGGTAGGGCGACCGGTTGGAGATAGTCATATTGAACTCCCAAGGGATACGCCGCGAGGAAATGGAGCTAAGGAAGGATTGAGATTTGATCTCTGATCTCATCTCCTTGCACTCTTTGTCTTCCTAGTTCCTTTTGTGTTGTCTTTCGCTTAAAAACTTCAAAGGACTATGAATGTCCTTTGGATTCATCAGCCACCATCTCTTCTAAGTGCCAATGTTGTAGTACCCTTGTGTGAATTTATCCCCGATGCTTATTTTACTTTTTAGGTTTAAATGTGCTTTTTGTTTGTAAAATATGCTTTTGGTCATTGTTCAGTTTCACTTTTTCGAATTAAATTGAAAAAAACTTTCATCATCAATTATTTTTAATTTGTATTGTATTTTTTATATAGAAATTTAGAAAACTTAGAAAATTTTCAATAAGCTTTCAATAAGATAATACAATGAAATTTTATTTAGAAAATAAAATTTACAACTTTTATCATCAATTAATCCTAATTCGTATTAATACAATGAAATAAAAATTAATTTTTTTAAATAAAGCTTACTCGAGATTTGTGATTTGGTGGCCTCGATTGGCGCCGGAGAACACCAACGACAGCACTTTGTCTGGGAGATGGTTATGGTGGCAATTTGGCCGCGAGCTCTAGGAGTATCATCATATTTTTTGCCAAATTTTAAATTAATCAAAAAAGTTGCGAAATTTGACATGGATGTTGCTATTTGCATGTAAAATCATTTGTAAGAGTTTCATGTTAAAATACTTGTCAATAATCTCTAAATTATAATTTTTTTAGTTTTGGCTTCGAGCTCTAGGGTACGATCACATTTTTTGACCAAATTTTAAATTAATCAAAAAATTTGCGAAATTTGACATAGATGTTGCTATTTGCATATAAAATTTTTTGTAAAAGTTTCATGTAAAAAATCTTGTCAATAATCTGTAAATTATAATTTTTTTAGTTTTGGCCTCGAGCCAAATAATCTGTACATTTTCTGGCCAAATTTATAAATTTATCAAAAAAGTTGCAAAATTTCACATGGATGTTTATATTTGCTTGTAAAATCCTTTGTAAGAGTTTCGTGTCAAAATACTTGTCAATAATCTCTAAGTTATAATTTTTTTTAGTTTTGGCCTCGAACTCTAGCGGCACTATCACATTTTTTGGCCAAATTTTAAATTAATAAAAAAAGTTGTGAAATTTCACATGGATGTTTCTATATGCAAGTAAAATCGTTTGAAAGAGTTTTATGTCAAAAGTACTTGTCAATAATCTCTAAATTATTATTTTTTTAGTTTTGGCCACAAACTCTAGTGGTACCATCACATTTTTTGGCCAAATTTTCAATTAATCAAAAAAGTTGCGAAATTTGACAAGGATATTGCTATTTGCATGTAAAATCATTTGTAAGACTTTCATATCAAAAACACTTGTCAATAACTCTAAATTATAATTTTTTTTAGTTTTGGCCTCGAGCTCTAGGGGTACCATCACACTTTTTGGCCAAATTTTAAATTTATGAAAAAAGTTACAAAATTTCACATGGATGTTTCTATTTAAATGTAAAATACTTTCTAAGATTTTCATTTCGAAAATACTTGTCAATAATCTCTAAATTATTATTATTTTAGTTTTGGCCTAGAGCTCTAGGGGTACCATCACATTTTTGGCAAAAATTTATATTAATAAAAAAAGTTGTGAAATTTTACATGGATGTTGCTATTTGCATGTAAAATTCTTTGTAAATGTTTCATGTAAAAATACTTGTCAATAATCTCTAAATTATAATTTTTTTTTAGTTTTGGCCTCGAGCTCCAAGTGTACGATCACATTTTTTGGCTAAATTTTTAAATTTATCAAAAAAGTTGCGAAGTTTCACATGAATGTTTTTATTTGCATGTTAAATCCATTGAAAAGTTTTATGTCAAAAATACTTGTCAATAATCTCTAAATTATAATTTTTTTAGCTTTGGCCTCGAGCTCTAGAGGTACCATCACATTTTTTGGCCAAATTTTAAATTAATCAAAAAATTTGCGAAATTTGACATGGATATTGCTATTTGCATGTAAAATCATTTGTAAGAGTTTCATGTAAAAATACTTGTCAATTATCTCTAAATTTTAAATTTTTTAGTTTTGGCCTCGAGCTCTAGGGATACCATCACATTTTTTGGCCAAATTTTAAATTTATCAAAAAAGTTGTGAAATTTGACATGGATGTTTCTATTTGCATGTAAAATCATTTGTAAGAGTTTCATGTAAAAATACTTGTCAATTACCTCTAAATTATAATTTTTTTAGTTTTGGCCTCGAGATCTAGGGGTACCATCACATTTTTTGGCCAAATTTTAAATTTATCAAAAAAGTTGCGAAATGTGACAAGAATGTTGATATTTGCATGTTAAATCATTTGTAAGAGTTTCATGTAAAAATACTTGTCAATAATTTTTAAATTATAATGTTTTTAGTTTTGACCTCGAGCTCTAGGGGTACCATCATATTTTTTGGCCAAATTTAAAATTTATCAAAAAACATGCGAAATTTCACATGGGTGTTTATATTTGAATGTAAAATACTTTCTAATATTTTCATGTCAAAAAGACTTGTCAATAATTTCCTAATTATTACTATTTTTAGTTTTGGCCTCGAACTCTAGAGTACCATCACATTTTTTGGCAAAATTTTAAATTAATCAAAAAGTTGCGAAATTTAATATTGATGTTGCTATTTGCATGTATAATCATTTGTAAGAGTTTCATGTAAAAATACTTGTCAATAATCTCTAACTTATAATTTTTTTAGTTTTGGTCTCGAGCTCTTGGGGTACCATCACATTTTTTAGTCAAATTTTAAATTTATCAAAAAAGTTGCAAAATTTAACATGGATGTTTATATTTGCACGTAAAATCCTTTGTAAGAGTTTCATGTCAAAAGTACTTGTCAATAATCTCTAAATTATTATTTTTTTAGTTTTGGCCTCAAGCTCTAGGGTACCATAAAATTTTTTGGCCAAATTTTAAATTAATCAAAAAAGTTACGAAATTTGACAAGAATGTTGCTATTTGCATGTAAAATCATTTGTAAGAGTTTCATGTAAAAATACTTGTCAATAATTTCTAAAGTATAATTTTTTTAGTTTTGGCCTCGAGCTCTAGGGGTACCATCACATTTTTTGACCAAATTTTAAATTTATCAAAAAACTTGCGAAATTTCACATGTGTGTTTCTATTTGAATTTAAAATACTTTCTAATATTTTCATGTCAAAAATACTTGTCAATAATTTCTAAATTATTATTTTTTTTAGTTTTGGTCTCGAGCTCTAGGGGTACCATCACATTTTTTGGCACAATTTTAAATTAATAAAAAAAGTTGTGAAATTTGACATTGTTATTGCTATTTGCATGTAAAATCATTTGTAAGAGTTTCATGTAAAAATACTTGTCAATAATCTCTAAATTATAATTTTTTTAGTTTCGGCCTAAAGCTCTAAGGGTACCATCACATTTTTTGGCCAAATTTTAAATTAATCAAAAAAGTTGCGAAATTTGACATGGATATTGCTATTTGCATGCAAAATAATTTGTAAGAGTTTAATGTAAAAATGCTTGTCAATTATCTCTAAATTATAAATTTTTTAGTTTTGGCCTCGAGCTCTAGAAGTACCATCACATTTTTTGGCCAAATTGTAAATTTATCAAAAAAATTACAAAATTTCACATGGATGTTTCTATTTGAATGTAAAATACTTTCTAAGATTTTCATGTCAAAAATACTTGTCAATGATCTCTAAATTATTATTATTTTAGTTTTGGCCTAGAGAGCTCTAAGGGTACCATCATATTTTTTGGCTAAAATTTAAATTAATAAAAAAATTTCGAAATTTGACATGGATGTTGTTATTTGCATGTAAAAACATTTTAAAGAGTTTCATGTAAAAATATTTGTCAATTATCTCTAAGTTTTAATTTTTTTAGTTTTGGCCTCTAGATCTAGGAGTACCATCAAATTTTTTGGCGAAATTTTAAATTTTTAAAAAAAGTTTCGAAATTTAACATGGATGTTGTTATTTGCATGTAAAATCATTTGTTAGGGTTTCATTTAAAATACTTGTCAATAATCTCTAAAGTATTATTTTTTTAGTTTTGGCCTAAAGCTGTAGATGTTTTGACCATCACATTTTTTGGCCAAATTTTAAATTTGTTAAAAAAGTTGCAAAATTTCACATGGATGTTTCTATTTGCATGTTAAATCCTTTGTAAAAGTTTCATGTCAAAAATACTTGTCAATAATCTCTAAATTATAATATTTTTAGTTTTGGCCTCGAGCTCTACGGGTACCATCACATTTTTTGGCCAAATTTATTTTTTTCAAAAAAGTTGCAAAATTTCACATGGATGTTTCTATTTGCATGTAAAATAATTTGTAAGAGTTTCATGTAAAAATACTTGTCAATAATTTCTAAATTATAATTTTTTTAGTTTTGGCCTCGAGCTCTCTAGGGGTACCATCATATTTTTTGGTCAAATTTTAAATTAATCAAAAAAGTTGCAAAATTTCACATGGATGTTTTTATTTCCATGTAAAATCCTTGGTAAGAGTTTCATGTCAAAGGTACTTGTCAATAATCTCTTAATTATTATTTATTTAGTTTTGGCCTCAAGCTATCACAATTTTTTGCCAAATTTTAAATTAATCAAAAAAGTTGCGAAATGTGACAAGAATGTTGCTATTTGCATGTTAAATAATTTGTAAGAGTTTCATGTAAAAAATACTTGTCAATAATTTCTAAACTATAATGTTTTTAGTTTTGACCTCGAGCTCTAGGGGTACCATCATATTTTTTGGCCAAATTTAAAATTTATCAAAAAACATGCGAAATTTCACATTGGTGTTTATATTTGAATGTAAAATACTTTCTAATATTTTCATGTCAAAAAGACTTGTCAATAATCTCTAAATTATAATATTTTTAGTTTTGGCCTCGAGCCCTAAGGGTCTTATCACATTTTTGGCCAAATTTTAATTTTTTCAAAAAAGTTGCAAAATTTCACATTGATGTTTCTATTTGCATGTAAAATCATTTGTAAGAGTTTCATGTAAAAATACTTGTGAATAATCTCTAAATTATAATTTTTTTTAGTTTTGGCCTCGAGGTCTCTAGGGGTACCATCATATTTTTTGGTCAAATTTTAAATTAATCAAAAAAGTTGCAAAATTTCACATGGATGTTTTTATTTCCATGTAAAATCCTTGGTAAGAGTTTCATGTCAAAGGTACTTGTCAATAATCTCTTAATTATTATTTATTTAGTTTTGGCCTCAAGCTATCACAATTTTTTGCCAAATTT